CATAATTTGGCTATTGTTGATAGCGCTGCTGTAAACATTGGGATGCATGTACCACTTAGAGCAAGGCTTTTTATATCCTTTGGATAACTACCTAACAGTGCAATTGCTGGGTTGTAGGGTAGTCCTTTTTTTAATTTTTTGAGGAACCTTTATACTGTTTTCTAGAGTGGCTGCATCAGTTTGCATTCCCACCAGCAGTGTAAGAGGTTCCTCTTTCTCTGCATCCTTGCCAACATCTGTTTTTGCCTGAGTTGTTAATGTTAGCCATTCTGACAGGTGTGAGGTGGTATCTCATTGTGGTTTTGATTTGTATTTCCCTGATTCTGAGTAATGTTGAGCATCTTTTCATGTGTCTGTTAGCCACCTGGATGTCTTCTTTGGAGAAGTGTCTATTCATGTCTTCTGTCATATTTCTTTACTTGATTGTTTGGTTTTTGGGTGTTGAATTTGATAAGTTCTTTAAAGATTTTAGATACTAAGCCTTTATCAGATATGTCATTTGCAAATATCTTCTCCCATTCCAACTGTTGCCTGTTAGTTTTGCTGATTGTTTCCTTTGCTGTGCAGGAGATTTTTCTCTTGGTGAGGTCCCACTAGTTCATTTTTGTTTTATTTTCCTTGCCTCTGGAGACATGTCTAGTAAGAAGTTGCTGCAACCAATGTCTAAGAAGTTGTTGCCTGTTTTCTCTTGTAGGATTTTGATGGTTTCCTGTCTCACATTTAGGTCTTTCATCCATTTTGAATTTATTTTTGTGTATGGTGTAAGAAAGTGGTCCAGTTTCATTCTTCTGCATGTCGCTGTCCAGTTTTCCAAGCACCATTTGCTAGAGAGACTGTCTTTTTTCCATTGGATAGTCTTTCTTGTTCTGTTGAAAATTGGTAGGACATACATTGGCGGGTCCATTTCTGGATTCTCTTTTCTGCTCCTTTGATCTATGTGTCTGTTTTTGTGCCAGTACCATATTGTCTTGATGATTACAGCTTTGTAATACAGATTAAAGTCTGGATTTGTGATGCCTCCAGATCTGTTTCTCTTTTTCTTTTTTTTTTTTTTTTTAAATTTTTTTTTTCAATGTTTTATTTTTTTATTTTTGGGACAGAGAGAGACAGAGCATGAACGGGGGAGGGGCAGAGAGAGAGGGAGACACAGAATCGGAAACAGGCTCCAGGCTCTGAGCCATCAGCCCAGAACCTGACGCGGGGCTCGAACTCACGGACCGCGAGATCGTGACCTGGCTGAAGTCGGACGCTTAACCGACTGCGCCACCCAGGCGCCCCTGTTTCTCTTTTTCAACATCGCTTTGGCTATTCGGGGTCTTTACTGGTTCCATGCAAATTTTAGGGATTGTTTGTTCCAGCTCTGTGAAGAATGTGGTGTTATTTTGATAAGGATTGCATTGAATGTGTAGATTGCTTTGGGTAGTATTGACATTTTAACAATATTTGTTCTTCCAATTCATAAGCATGGAATGTTTTTCCATTTCTTTGTGTCTTCTTCAAATTCTTTCATAAGCTTTCTATAGTTCTCAGCATACAGATCTTTTACCTCTTTGGTTAGCTTTATTCCTAGGTATCTTATGGTTCTGGTGCAATTGTAAATGGGATCGATTCCTGGATTTCTCTTTCTGTTGCTTCATTACTGGTGTATAGAAATGCAACCAATTTATGTACATTGATTTTATATCCTATGACTTTGCTGAATTCATGTATCAGTTCTAGAAGTTTTTTGGTCGAGTCTTTTGGGTTTTCCATGTAAAGTATCATGTCACCTGTGAAGAGTGAAAGTTTGACTTCTTTGTCAATTTGGATGTTTTTTATTTCTTTTTGTTGTCTAAATGCTGAGGCTAGGACTTCCAGTACTATGTTGGACAACAGTGGTGAGAGTGGACATCCACGTTGTGTTCCTGACCTTGGGGGGAAAGCTCTCAGTTTTTCCTTACTGAGGATGATATTAGCTGTGGGCCTTTCCTATATGGCTTTTATGATGTTGAGGTATGTTCTGTGTATCCCTACTATTTTCTTGAGGGTTTTTATCAAGAAAGCACACTGTATTTTTGTCAAATGCTTTTTCTGCATCTACTGAAAGGATCATATGATTCTTATCTTTTCTTTTTTTAAGGTGGTGTATCACATTGATTAATTTGTGAATATTGAACAAGACCTGAAGCCCAGGAATAAATTCCACTTGATTATGGCGAACAATTCTTTTAATGCACTGTTGAATCTGATTTGCTAGCATCTTGTTGAGAATTTTTGCATCCAGTTTCATCAGGGATGTTGGCCTGTGATTCTCCTTTTTAGTGGGGTCTTTGTCTGGTTTTAGAATGCTGACTCCATAGAATGAGATTGGGAGCTTTCCTATCATTTCAATTTTTTTTGGAACAGTTTGAGAAGAACAGGTATTAACTCTTCTTTAAATGTCTAGGGGCGCCTGGGTGGCTCAGTCGGTTGGGCGTCCAACTTCAGCTCAGGTCATGATCTCGTGGTCTGTGAGTTCGAGCCCCGCATCGGGCTCTGTGCTGACAGCTCAGAGCCTGGAGCCTGTTTCAGATTCTGTGTCTCCCTCTCTCTCTGACCTTCCCCCATTCATGTTCTGTCTCTGTCTCAAAAATGAATAAATGTTAAAAAAAATAAAAAAAAAATAAATGTCTGGTAGAATTCCCATGGGAAGCCATCTGGCCCAGGACTTTTATTTGCTGGGAGATTTTTGATAACTGACTCAATATCTTTGCTGTTTATGGGCCTGCTCAAAATTTCTATTTCTTTCTGTTTGAGTTTTGGTAGTGTGTGAGTGTCTAGGAATTTGCCCATTTCTTCCAGGTTGTCCAGTTTGTTGGCATATAATTTTTCATAGTATTCTCTAATAATTGTTTGTATTTCTGTGGTGTTGGTTGTGATCTTTCCTCTTTCATTTGTGATTTTATCTGTTTGGGTCCTCTCTCTTTTCTTTTTGTTAAGTCTAGCTAGGGGTTTATAAATTTTGTTTATTCTTTCAAAAAGCAGCTTTTAATTTCACTGATTTCTTCTGCTGTTTTTGTGTGTTTGTTTCCATATTCTTTTTTTCTGCTCTACTCTTTATTATTTCTCTTCTTCTGCTGGCTTTGGGCTTTATTTGCTTCTCCTTTTATCACTACTTTAGGTGTAAGATTAGGTTGTGTATTTGGGACCTTTCTTACCTCTTGAGGTGGGCCTGCATTGCAATGCATTTTCCTCTTAGGACTGCTTTTGCTGAATCCCACAGGGATACTGTCATGTTTTCATTTTCATTTGCTTTCATGTATTTTTAAATTTCTTCTTTAATTTCCTGGTTAATCCATTCATTCTTTTTTTTTTTTAAGTTTATTTATTTTGAGAGAGTTGGCATGAGCAGGGGAGTGGCAGAGAGAGAGGGAGAGAGAGAGAGAGAGAGAGAGAGAGAGAGAGAGAGAGAGAGAGAATCCCAAGCAAGCTCTGTGCTGACAGCGGGTCTCAAACTCATGAAATTGTGAGATCATGACCTGAGCTGAAACCAAGAGTTGGGCGCTTAACTGACTGAGCCACCCAGGTACCCCAATCCATTCATTCTTTAATAGGGTGTTGTTTAACCTCCATGTATTTTAGGACTTTCCAAATTTTTTCTTGTGATTGATTTCAAGTTACACAGTGAAACCCATACCCAAACTTCTGGGTAGTTTTTCTTTTCCCTTCTGTGTCTCAGCTGTCAAGGGAAACTGGCTCCCCAGAGTGAAGATGGGGCCTAAAGAGCATCATAGTGGGGTGGTGTGCTTGGCAAACAGAAGGTACACACACGGCTTACACCTCTGCACCTCCTCCTGCCAATCAGCTATCAACCCCACAACTGTGCAGTGTCATAAAGCCTGGGTCTATCCCCCAGGGGCTGGCTCAGCCCCAGGCTAAGTTAGGCCTGGTTAGTGCCCAAAAGCACCAAGGCTAACAAATCCAAAAACCTGATACAGTGTCTCACAAGGGACCATGCAGACAACACAGCAAAATGAGTAACCATAGCCAGATTAGCAGAGGACAGCAAAACCACCTTGCAAAAAGATAGTACAGGAAGTACACTTTGAGAGACCAATGTTTTCCTCATGTCTAGCCTTCTTGTCATTTGGGTCTGGAAGATTGAAAAGCACATTTGCTTTGTGAGCAGCTGCTGCGTCATGACTTATTTATACATGTGATAATGTATCATTGTAATTATAATGGTAAATTTAAGTAACTCAGAAATAATGTTGCATACTGGACAAGCAATTAATTACACAAATTTAACTTTTTATGCCAGTTTATCTGGGGAGAGCAAAGACAGGCAGCTAAAAACATGTGGTTTAATAAAAACTCTGTACTGGTTCTAAGACTATTGTGTAACTTCGAGTAGGCCTATGGGGATGTCTTTGATTACTCATCCCTTTTAGCAAAGAGGGCAGAGGGAGGTAGCAAGAGAGGAAGGGAGGAGAGACACTTACTTCAGCAAATGCTTAGATAAGGCTGTCCCCCTCCAGAACACTGCAGAGCCAGATCAATTACCTTGCTCCAGTTCCCCACTTTCCAGCTGGCGCAGGGACGAAGGTGGCATCTCTTGGCAGGGTCAGGCCTCTGAAGGGCAGCACAGTCGGAATCCCTCTGGGTGCTGCATTCCACGCTTCTCCAGTAGGCCCCCAGACCACAGGTGGTAGAGCACTGTGTGGGGAGGGGGACAGAGAAGACAGAAGCTGAAGGCCACTTTCTCAGATGTATCTCACAACACTCTGAAGTCCAGTTCTCCACCTTGGATGCTCACCTAAATTCACAGAGCTTTTTAAAAAATATCATCGCTGGGGTCCCGCCCTAGACAAATTAATCTGAATTTCCCTGGGTAGGGTCTAGGCATTGTAGTAAAAAGAAATGTCCCAAGTGATTCTAATAAACACCCAGTGATGAGAATCCCGGATTAGCAAGTGGATTAGCAAGTGGATTAGCAAGCCAACGCAAGTGGAAATTTGCTTCTCTTTAAAAATTATCCTGGCATGAATGCCTGGGGGCTGTAGGCAAACTGCCCACCACATTTCATACCAATGCTGCCGTTCATAGGGGATGTCAGATCCATACATCTGCCTAACACCACAATGACATTATCTCACTTCCTCTCCCAGACAAACCTGTAGTTACACTGGTATTGTGACAGTGTAGAAAAAAACCCGTGAGGCTTGGAGAGCTGGCTTGACAAGGAAGTAAAGCCTGGGGCTTTCTGCCATACACTGTCTGCTAGAGCAGTTCCTCTCAAACTTTAGTGTCCACAGGCATCACCTGGGACCTTGCTAAATGCAGATTCTGAGTCACTAGGTATGGGGTGGAGCCGGAGGATGAGAGATCATGTGAAATAGAACGGGGTCACCAGCGGAGGCCACCTCAGATTCTGCATGTCTGCCCAGCTCCCAGGTGATACCAATGCTGTGAGTCCTCAGACCACGCTTGGGGGTTAGAAAGATGTTACAACTTAGTGCTTTTCACCACTTGCCCTATAGGGGTACATACAGCCCATTCCTCACGTGATGTTTTAATTTATTCGTAATTCTTAAATACCTCAGGTATAGCAAGGGATCGCCTTGAAAACTACAGAAGCTTTCTTCTCCATAAGTTCTTTTATTCCATGTGCTTATTAATTCTTTCATACAGTTGATTTTTCTTGCATCCCTTCTCCCCTACCCACCTTCAGAAGGAGGAGCTCTCCAGACACATGTAAAACACAGCTCTGGGCTAATTAAAAAAAAAAAAAACAAAAAAAAAACAAAGGATGGAGGTTCCATCTATGACATTTTTGAAGGCTTCTTTTGATGAGTTACAAATAAAAACCAGCCTTACATTTTTCTCTCGCTGCAATTTCATCTTCCACATAATTTCGTGTGTCACTTTTTGCAAGTTCTTGTGTTATACACATATATAACAGAGATTCTAGATGGATAACTTTACTATAGCATCATAGAAAGGAAGAGTAGAAATTAGCCTAGGTCATCATTTTTCCAGTTGGCCCATTTATAGAGGTAATCTCTCCTCCTGCTTAAAGTTCTTTAGGATGTGGTTCATACCTAAGTTCCTAGCCCTTTCTCCTCTGTACTACATTATGTATATGCGTAATAGAGGTAATAACAGCCGAAGTGCACTGACCACTGTCATAGGCTGATTGCACTAGTGGCCCACATTGGACACACCATGCTCTCTGCAATGGGAATTTGCAGATCTTTTGTCAAGCAGTGGGATATACTTGCCCAGCTCTTGAATCAAGACTGTTCTTGTGAGTTTCTTTGGCCAATAAAATGCAGTGGATGATGTGCCACTTCTCAAGAGGACTCGCTAGTTTCAATTCTCTTTCTTGACCCCCTCTCTCTGCCATGAGAATAAAACGGGGCCAGATGCCGGAGGATGAGAGATCATGTGAAATAGAATGGGGTCACCCAGCTGAGGCCACCCCCGACCAGCCGGCCTGTAGCTGCCCCCACAGCCGATGCACGGCAAGCCAAGCAAGCTGAGGTCCGCTAAGCTCAGCCCCAATCAACAGAATCTCTCAGCTGACCCACAGACTCGACGAAACCCTGAGGTTTTGTGGTGGTTTGTCATATAGCATTATTATAGCAATAGACAATTGCTACAACTACATAACAGGTATCTTTCCTACATTTTCTTTAACCTTCTGAGATTCAGGGTACAATTATAGTTCTGCAACTGGCTAATTGTGTGGTCTTTTGCAACTTCCTAACTCCCTAGACTGTAAAACTGGTGATAACATTAGGACCACAGAAATTTGTGCACATGGTTAGGACTCTACAAATGTTACCTATTGAATACAACACAGCTGCAAGGTCAGCATATGAGTCTCACTTTCCAGATATCTGGGGCCCAGAGATAGAAGCAACATTCAAGGCCACATAGTGTGTTGTTAATTTCATATGACATAGAGAAAATATATTCGCCCCAATCCAGGAAAGGACCTAGTCAACTAAATTCCCAGGCTAATGATAACCCGGTAAATCTCAAATGATGTCTATGATTCTTTGTACTGTATTTATGTGGCAACTAAATTCATGTTGTCTCTGGGGCTCTGAATTTAGTCCTAACAGATTCAGATTCCATGAGCAGACATTTAATTCTTTTTGAACACTTTTTTTCTTTTTATTCTTTTTTTAAAAAGTTTATTTATTTTGAGAGAGAAAGAGAGAATGCACAGAAGGGGCAGAGGGAGAGGGAAGAGAGGGAGAGAGAAAGAGAGAGAATCCCAAGCAGGATCCGCACTATTTGTGCAGAACCCCATGTGGGGTTCGATCTCATAAACTGTGAGGTCATGACCTGAGTCAAAATCAAGAGTTAAATGCTTAACTGACTGAGTCACCCAGGCATCCCAATTTTTTTTTCTTGTTTTGACAGTTTCTATTGAGGCAGCAGACAACAGTGCAAAGGTAATGCTGACAGGGGCAAATGCATGGGACACAGTACAAGAGACATGGAATGCCACCAGTTGTCATTAGTACGAGTTCCAAACTTGGAGTGGGCGATGAGACAAGAAAAAACCCTGGGGAGGTTGAAGGACAACTTCACTTTGTCCTGGAAACCTTCATCCTCATTACAGTTAGTGACCCTGTGGCAACCGAGGTACCAGGTCAAGGAGGAGGTTTCCGGATGCTCAGAACTGGAACTAACCAGGAGGGCTGGATCAGCATCACGTGACAACTGCGGTGAATGGCTGTGGAAAATCAGACTGTTGCTTCCATTTACACAGCTGCACAGCTTACACTTAGCTGAGTGACCCAGGGGATCTGACTGGATGATGGGGCAATTCAATGAGAGGTGATTTTCTGATGAAATAGGAGCCATACCCTCGTACACTGCATAGCACCTAGGTTTTCTGTTTTGCAAACAGATATCAGAGCAAACACTTACTGGGTGCTTCCTATGTGCCCCATACTCTTCTGAGTACCTTACACATTGTTAGTCCTTTCATCCCCTCACAATCTCTGATTCAGGCATTGACACTGTCCTCATCACACATGAAGAAACTGATGCAGGGTGAGGACATATATAGTTAGCGGCTGAGCCAAGATTCCAACCCAGAAAGTCTGGTTTCAAGTTTTATGTGCATTTATAGTGTTAAACCCATTTTTATATCAATTCCTTAATTTTTGAAATCACAATTAGAGGAACACGTTGTATACAACGGGAAGTGTGAAGAGCCCTTCCACACAGGACAGAAAAGTGGGAGGAAACGGTGAGAACAATTTTCAGTCAAACAATAAGGAACTTTAGAAATTACTTCCAATCTTAATGATCAGGAAAGACTTTATGGCAGCTCATAGCTTGGTCCTGAAGAACAGGGGAAATTCTAAAAGGAAAATGAGGAGGGGAAGGAAATTCCAGGCAGAGGGAACAGTGTAAAAAAAAGGCATTAGACTGAGAGGAGCAGGAGGCTTAGGGAAAACTGAGCAGTTTAGATCTGCTGAAGCTTAAGATGATGAAACAGAGTGAAGCCAGTGTGGTTTGAAAGCTTGGTTACGTAATGTTGTAAAGGCTGTTGGAAGTCCGAGTGGATTTATCTGATCTGATATGTAATGAAGAGACATTAAAGATTTGTGAGCGGGAGTTTGGAATGATTAGTAAATTCCTTCAGAAGACTAAGTTGGCAGTCTTAATGTCTCTTGTGATTCGTGGAATGCGTTACAGTGGCGGGGGGGGGGGGGGGGGGGGGGTTGCTGGAGGCACACAGACCAGATAGGAGGCAAGAACAGTAACTGAGGGTCCTCCTCTTTTCACTGTTGGGGCACTAACTGGCATTTTGCAGTGGACATTTCTTCTTTATAAGAGACTTCCCTGAATGTCGCAGGGCTTTTATCATCTTTGGCTCTCAATGTTGAATGCTGGTAGTAGCCCCTCCCCCATCACTGTAGCAAACACAAGCATCCCCATCTTTTCCCAGGCTTCCCACCATTAGATTGGAAACCACTGGCCCTAAACTAACAGGAAATAAACAGGATATGATAGAAATGATAAGGTGACACTGACTTGTAAAACCGTTAAGGTTTTTATAGGGGGCTTGGGGAAGATTGGTATCAATGGGGTTTCTAAGCTGCAGTCATTGAGAGGCCGTCCTAAAGAAGCTTCAGAAATGGACAGAATAAAAAAAAAATCAGAGGATAGTGGGAAAACCAAAGTTTTCATTGTGACTCCTGATCCTCTCTGACAATTCTCTGTATTAAACATTTTGTCTCAAAAGATGTGTAAAGAGAGCAGGCGCCAAACCCTATCACAAAGGGAATTTCTGCCAAATGTTGAACTCTGTTCTCCTAATATCCTTTGCAGCCCTGACAAACTGCCATCTGGACCAATTCCTTTTCTCCAGTCAAACCGCCTAGAATTAATAGCTCTCAATAGCTTCACCATGGTTGCCAATTCTTGGCAATCTATGATGTATTCAATAAGGCAGTTTATTTCTGTCAAAGTCAACTGATGACATTTGAGATAAATCAAGTGTGTCTTGATTTACTATAATCAAAATGTACCAATTGACTTCTGGCCTCCACAGTCACCAGAGCCAGTATGTACTTTTATGTTGATTTAGTTTACAGGTAATTCACAGTTAATGCCCATTTTACAAACTGGATAGAGTGGAGTTAGAAGGTACATTATCCAGCTGACAGTTGTGTCCCTCGACAAGTCACATGACTGCTACAAATTTTATTTCTCTATTTGCAAATTGGCATAATGAGACTTCACCTACTCCTCGGGACTGCCAAAAGGAGAAAATAAGAGGCTACATGTGAAAGTGGTTTGGAAACCAACATGCTTCATAAATTATATGCACTGTTGTTATATTAGCTACAAATACTTCATTTCTCTTTAGCTAGGAGAGGAGTCATGAATTGTCATAAAAATGCTGACTGATGTAAGCATGTGACCATTTTGCCACAAAGTTCTCTTTTGAGTTGTCAAATTATTTTAACAAGTTCATATACTGTGCATTCAAAATTCAAATGGGTGAAAATGATTTTGATGTTTCAAAGGATATTAATTAGTTCTAGAAATGGAAAAACAAATATCTAGCCAAATTTCTGAAGCTTGAAAACAGAGGCCAACATTCTGTCGTCGTGTTTATTTTCTTCTTCCTCCACTTTCTAATTCTTTTAATGAGTCAAAACGATTTTTTCATGCAAGCATGCAAACAGAACAAGAAGAAAAGAAAATCATCGATAACACTGAACTAGAGAATGCTTTTAAGGAATTTTATCTTCAATTTCCACTCCAATTAGGATTACCTGACAGATTTTAACTAGAATCCCAAGATCAGCTGTCTCTAACGAAATGCAAACTCTGGCCTCTTCAGCCCCCCTCCGCACCGGCTGCTGAGGTTTGTAGCTAGAGGGCATGTCACAGGTGATCTACACCTGTAGACAAAGGTGTCTACTGTTTGTAGACAAAGAGCGGAGTCCAAAACATGGACTGAGTTCTCCACCATCACACAGCTGAATCGCCCAGCCCTCCTGACTATACGCTTTATCTCACTACATTTGTCCTCCCTCCCTGGAGATTTTCTTCCCCTCAATTTAGGAGGTAGGGAGGACAGGAGGGAGGTGAGCACCTGGACCTGTTTCACGTTTCTTCCACATCGGGCTATATTTTACACAAGTCCATTTGAAATCTACACAAGAACGCAACACCCCTACTACTTCCATGGAGACACAGGCATGGGGTAAGAAATGGAACTCCTACCTCACTCCAGTTTCCAACAACCCAGTATGCAGGGCTGCTGCTCGTGGACACCTGCTTGTAATTGGAAGCATTTAGCAAAAACCCCTCAGCTATCAGACTTTTTGCATCTTCCTCAGTCAGGACTGGTCCGGAACTCTGCGTCAGATTCATGTTGCTTGGAAGTTCTGGGGGGTCATGGTTTATGGAACGTTCTGAGGGTCCTGGCTGGTGGTCTCCTCCCAGAGGGAATGGAGTGTTTGCTGGCTTTTCAGTGAACATCCCCTCAGCTCCAGGTGCACCATTTTTGAGAGTAGCAGGCCTTTGGCTGGGTAGTAGTCCTTCCATCACCGTGCTGAAGGGTGGCCACATGGACGGCCCCCTGAAATAAGGTGTTGGTGGGGGTCCAAGGGGCATTTCTGTGCTTTGCATCACTGAAGCATCATTTCCAGGTACTCTGATTTTGCTCCACGTTATGGAGTTATTTTCATTTTTGTCCTTAGCTTGTTCACTGTCTTCCCCTGAGCCACTGTGAATCTCCATTTCTGGCTCTTTGGTCAAGGTATCATAAAATGGAGTCACCTGCCAAGTCACAGGGCTGCTGGAAGATGGCAAATCAGAACCACTCATTGTCGTGGTTAAAAAGTCTCCCTCTGAGGTAGGACCAGTGTCTGAATTGGGAACATTCTCTTCATTTGGCTGGACACTCAAAGGCCAGGAAGTGATGATGGGCTGGGAAGTACTTCCAGTGGAAATGACATAATTGGAGCCCAGTTCAGTTTGGTTTGAACTGTTCTGCCACCATTTCCCATCCAGGTCTCCTTCTTTGGGATCTGGGGTAGGACCGGGGCTGCTGATGGCCAGGGCACTTGTACTCACAGACTGGGGCACTGTGGGTGTGCTCAGTGTTCTGGGACTGGACGTTGTTGGAGGGATGGGCTTTAAGGGGTCCTGCCCAGATGTTGGTGGCTTTCTCCCACTGGAAATTGTGACTTTGTTGGGCTTCAGAACTCTTCGGCTAGATGGGCATTGCTGGAGGCCACAAAGAGCCCGGCTATTGGGTTTCCTTGTTGCGTCACAAGGTTCATCATGGTTCTTGGCGCACGTGACACTGCGAATCCGCACTCCACCACCACAGGAAACAGAACACTGGAGAGAGAGACAGCTGTTACTTTAGTGGGATAGACACACTGGTTCTCATACTCAGGTCTGCAACAAGTGAGAACGGGCCCAATGGAAACTGCACTGTGCAGCTTAAACTTGTTTTCTTCTATCTTTACATTTGATTTCTGTGCTCCTCTAGTTTTCCATGGAAATATGTATCTCCTGGAGACCAGATGGGGCTCAGGACCAATCATTACCCTTCGCAAACTGAAAATACAAACCATGACCTAGTAAAATGGAAGTCTCCCTGGGCTTTGAACATGGGGCACTGAATTCACAAACAGTGCAATGATTTATACAAGTCACCTATTCTTTTTAAGAGATACTAATATAATCTTTCCTAGGGTTGCAGTGCTGTTAAATTAATGTAAAATGTTTACATATTTTCTGGAATTTATTAAGTTACTTATAATGAACCTTCCCCTTAATGTTTAGAAAATGGCAGGTATAACTAACATTACCTCACCCGGGCACCACAGGCTCCATTTCCACTTGCCTATGTCAGGTAGAATCAGATTAAAAGCTAGACAACTATCATACTCACACATGTACACAGATCTAGGACGTATTCTGAAATTTAAAGGTGGGTAGTTAATCAAAGGTAGAGAGAGATACCCTTTCCAAAGAGTGAGTCCTGTAGCATGGTGTTGGTGTGAGGGACCATGGCAAGTGCCCTTCTCCAATGTTCCCCCCACATTCTGTAGCTCATGCCAAAGCACAGGCAGAGTGCCTTTGGGAGATTCCTAACAGGGTAGTCTTTCCACAGGATTCATGGTAAAGAATATTTATTTCCTCAGTCCCAGCAGCTGCAAACCACATGTAGTTGCTACATAACACTAAATTTCTAGATGTTTTGAAAAATCTATACTTTTACCAGACAGCTCCATTTTTAGCCTTTTCTTTCTAATTTAAAGTCAGCTACCAAATATATGGCCCCTGAATGTGAACCATCCAGGGGTATTCACTGGCTGTTTCACATCTGTCTGTCTTACATTGCCAACCTCAAAGCAGGTTTTTTTGAGGATGGGGTTCACATAATGACTGGCAGGTTTCCAAATGTTCACAGCCATTGTTTTGTGCGATACTCGTGACAGCACTGTGAGATTTACAAGGCAGGAATTATGATTCCACCTTCCACAAGAGAGGAACCTGAGACTCAGCGACCTGCTCGAAAGGCTGCAAGTCAGTGGCAGAGTAAGAATCAGATTTATTTTGCATCCTCCAAGAAATCTAGTGCAACACACTGGACAGGTAGCCATCAACTGACTTCACTTATTGACTTGACTACAGATGCTTGATTTCTGAAAAGTTACCCAAAGGCAGTTTTTATTCATAACTCAACTCCAGGATAGTTCGTGGGACACAGTGATCACTTAATACACATTTTTTTTGTTCTTTTAAAGTTTATTTATTTATTTATTTATTTATTTATTCATTTATTTTTGGGGCGGGGGGAGACAGAGAGAGAGAGAGAGAGAGAGAGAGAGAGAGAGAATCCCAAGCAGTCTCTGCACCATCAGCACAGAGCCTGATGTGGGGCTCCAACTCATGAACCACAAGGTCGTGACCTGAGCCAAACCAAGAGTCAGATGCTTTATTGACCAAGCCACCCAGGTGCCCCAATATACACTTATTAAGTGACAATTTTACCTGGAAAAAATCAGGAATGGGAAAATTCTTCTGTGAGCTTATGCATTTTTTAGCTTAAGTTTTTTGCCTTCTCAAATCCTATTTTCAATTCCTTCTGTGTACGAAAATAATGTTGATGTATAAAACTCCCCCATTATTTTGTCACAGTCAAGCATAATCACTCACTGATGTTTGACAGTTCTGTGAAATCAGCTCCTTTGAAAAGCAGGAGACACTTATAAGCACTGGAGACAGTGCAGCCGACAGTGTGTTCAACTGCAGGTTGGGGGTTATCTCACTTTGGAGACTGCAAAGGGCAGGCTGCAGGTAGTTCTTTTCCTAGTTTGCTGTAATGTTTCTGCCTTCTCGTGTGCAAAAATATTTTATGCTCCGTCCAGTTCATCCTCCTGACTTGCTCTCTGCTTGTTACGTTCTAATCCGAACCTCCTGAGTTTTCAAATCTCCTCTTTGGAAAAATTATCAGTCCAATCAAATACCCTTTATGTATGTCTGAACACATTTGTGCACCGGCTGCCTCAGGTAGGCTAGGTTCTGGGAGCTGAGTCACAAAAGGGGCCCTGGCTAAGGCCACCTGCCCTCAAGCAGCAGGTGTCTCTCCCTTTGGGTATTTCTTTCCAAGAAATGTCAGAGTAGATATTTCTCTTCTTTCTCTTCATTCCATTTTTTGTTTGTTTTGACTTGAAATGCTTATAATGTCCACAGGGAAGTTAGACTTTACGACTTTATAAGCATTAAAAAAAAATCCAAAAGTATATAGATATGTGCCCTCCACCCCTACTTGACCTATGAAGCAAAAGAGCTTATAAAACCTGTAAGAAGCAATGTGAACTCCCCAATCTGCCATTATTAATTAACCCCACACACGACAGAGCAACTAAACCTTAGCTTTCTCCTCTGGAAATCGAGAGAAATTAATACTCACCTTTCAAGGAGGCTGTGAGGATTACATGAGACAACAGTCTTAACACAGTGCACAATATATAGAAGACAATTGGCAATTGGAAACTATTATTATCACTGTTATAATAATGATGCTGAAAATAATAATAGTGATAACAGCAAAGGGCTTGGGGGGTCTCTGATTTCTACTATCCTTCTGGAGCACAGGGACACACACCTGTCTGTGGAAAGTATGAGGAGAGCAGCTGTCTGGGTGAAGTCGTTGTAGGCACATGCCTAGAAGATACTGTGGATACCCATACGTCCCACTGGTTTATTGCTGGATTTTTTAAGATTGAGATCCCCTAGGGCTAACAGATGTATATAATATATATGTATATATAATATATATGTATATGTATATGTATATACATATATACACACATATAGAAAGAATTACAAATTACAAGTATTAAGCAACCTTTTTTACTGTGCAAATTTGCTCAACCTAAAAGAATAAAACAGGGCTAAATAATAGCTATCTAGCTGTTTAGTTAAAATACATTAGATTTTCAGCTGTTATTATAAAAAACATTTTTTTAACATTTATTAATTTACTTTGAGAGAGAAAGAGAGAGCAAGCATGCGTGCAGGGGAGAGCCAGAGAGAGAATCCCAAGCAGGCTCTGTGTGGGACTCAGACTTGCGAATGTGAGATCACGACCTGAGCTGAAATCAAAAGTTGGACACTTAACCGACTGAGCCACCCAGACACTTCAGATTTTGCGCTTTTAAAAGTGAACAGTATTCTAGAACAGAAATTCCAAAGTGGCAGCCTAAAGACTAAATTTGGCCCACACACATTATTTCTTTGGCCTCCTCAATCTTAAAACAAACAAGCAAACAGACAAAATACAAAAACTGAATTAGTAGCCAACATTTAAAAATCAGTAGATTTCATGGGGCGCCTGGGTGGCTCAGTCAGTTAAGCCTCCGACTTCGGCTCAGGTCATGATCTCACAGTTTGTGGGTTCGAGTCCCGCGTCAGGCTCTATGCTGACAGCTCAGAGCCTGGAGCCAGCTTCATATTCTGTGTCTCCTCTCTCTGCCCCTCCCCTACTCGCACTCTGCCTCCCTCTCTCTCTCTCTCTCTCTCCCCCTCTCTCTCAAAAAAAAAAAAAAAATAAGCGGATAAAAAAATTTTTTTAATTAGCAGATTTCATATTAAAACTACAGATTTTTAGCTTCTCTCAAAAAAGCGGATGATCTGCAACTATTAGCCCCATTCCCAAATGGCAACTCAAACTTCATGAATGGAGACCTGAGTCTGGGAGGAGTTTATATGTTTTCCAGCACACCTACCCTTTCCTCCCCATCTGCTTTCCTTACTCAGTAGACACGGAAACTTCCAAGTAATGGATGGATGCCACTCTTTAGCCCTGGGGCATATTGTGCCCAGCAGGACAGTGTTAACTCTCTGCCAAGTATATTGGGGCTAAAAACAAAGTTGCCTTTTTCTCCTCCTCAGACCAGAACAAGCAGCACTGTTTTGTGTTCAGCCCCATGCTTCTTCCTGTACATCTTGTAACTGTGTTTATCTCCTTAGGAGCTGTCAAGCCCTTCGGATGAGATAAATACAGGACACAATGCCACACTTAGAGCTCATCTCAACCGGTAGTTTGGGAACTCTCAAAACCAGTATCTGCTATGGTTATTTTATGCCCTTACCTTGCAATTTTGAACTCCGTACCGGGCAAGCAGCTTGTCAATCTGTTAATGTCCTCCCTGGGTGTCAATCTTGCTCTTACTTGCCATTACTTCAAGATTAAGGCCTGTGGGGAGCCCACTGAGAACAAGGTCTGCTGCTAAATGAGTCAAGCCACCCACCTGAGCGGCACTGTGGAGGAGGGGAGCTCACAAATGGCTCAGAACTATAGTGCTGAGAGTTTATTCAAAAACACAGTTGGGGCTTATCACAGAGTTAGGGCTAAAGGGCTGAGTAGAGAAACAGCTAATGCTTTGCCATAAAAACATTAATTGTATAGTCTCAGGAATTTATAAATGAATGGTTGGATCTCATGCTTAAACCAGCTTTGAAAGTAAGCTGAAACACTTAGGTAGCTGTTATGGGTTGAACTGTGTCCCCTCAAAAAGATATACTGGAGTCCTAACCCCTGCCTAACCCCTCCCGCTCCACCTCAGAGAGCTTATTTGGAGGTGGGGCCTTTGCAGAGGCAGTCAAGTACAAATGAGGACACAAGGTGGGTCCTAATCCAGTATGACCACTGTCCTTATAAAAAGGGAAATTCTGATGTAGAGACACATACATCAGGACCACGCCACTGAAAGCAGAGATCAGGGTGTTAACATCTATAAGGAAACCAGAGGCCACCAGAAGCTAGAAGGCATGGAACAGAGTCTCCCTCACAGCCCTTAGAGGGAACCAACACTGCCAAG